TATTTTGCCCAAGGTCACAGAGCTACAAGTACACAATTTCTATAAAGTTCCTTTTTACTCACATCATATGTTGTTTACTTGTATTTCATTTTTATATTGTTTAAGTAAGGTAAAATAGTTTTGTGTGATATATACTTAAGGTATTAAAAAAATAAAATATTGATACAACAAAATTTTATTTCCAAGCCATTAGAAGGTAAATCACACACACACAAATGTATGCAGGAGTACTTAAACAATTTAATATTTGAATTCAATTACTGAATCAACAGTTCAGTGCTATATATATTTGTTTTTTGAAGTTTAAATTGAAATATAATTTTTCAAATCATAGCCTAGTTGGTCTCAAATTTATATTTTTGATTTTTAAAAATGATTAACATTTTCATCAATTTGAAATAATTTATTCTTAAGCCCTCCAATATTTCCAGTATTCTTGTATTATTAAATATTAATTATATTTGCATCAGTTACTTGTATTTAGGTAACTTATTTGCAGTTGAACATTAATTTCTTTTTTTAGTAACTTTAGATTTATTGTTACATAAACATAAAATAAAATACATTTCAAAAGTGAGTTTGCAATGAATCATTTCATCTTCTTTTCAACTTTCTATTGGTATTATTGAATGCTGTGGTATTTTTTAATTCATTCATTCCTTAATATATTTGTTCAGGTCCTATAATCCTTTATTTTTAAGTAAAGATTTTCATTCATATTTTGTCAAGTAAAACATAATATTCATTTATATTTTGTCAAATATATTTATTTGGATATTTTCATCAATATCTGGAAATTTCCTCTAATAAACAAAACAGCAAGGCTAATATATTTTACATTCTTTTTTCTTAAGTAGCAATGTATATCCCCTACCTGCCCGCCCCAATAGTTTAAGTTCTAATAATCAAAGTATAATCAGTATCTTTTCAAATGAGATAGTTACCGAGAGGATACTTACCTAGCTTGTAACTACCTGATTTCTTTCTACTCTTGAAACTAACAGGGAATATTTTATTTAAGAATTTGATCATTATAATTAGTTTCACTGCATTCAATTTCCTCCTTTTCCATGGGAAAACAGAGATTTTGGTTAAGCACAATGTGTATATTTGATGAATATGTAAATATATATTTTTATTGACTGTGGATAATCTCTTGTCACCTGTTTTATTTCTCAATTCATGTGGTACTGGTAGTACCATTAAGATGGTTCATATGCATCAAAAGTAGAACGCCTGGAAGATGATGGCGGTGTAATTACACAGTACATCATGAACAATCCAACTTTGGCACAGCTGAAGATTACTTCACGGTTTTGAATTCATCTGAATGACCTCAGCTTTATTGCTGTTGAGATTCTAGAAATGACAAAATGTCAAGTCATTGGAAATAAACCAACAGAACCTAAACAATCTGACATGACAAATGCATAGTTTCTCTGACTTGTTCCATATTCTGCAGACTTTATTACCAGCTGTAATATTTTATTAAGAAATACTTATCTTAATGAATGCAAGGGTCTTCCACCTTACTAAAATGTATGCCTGCTTTGTAAAGAGCAGAAAAATCCACTGCTCTGTATATTTGCATTTCATATGTACTAAAACTTAACACACAATAAGTGTTGAATGATTGCTTTACTTATATTTTATCTTTATTTTGAGGGGGTGTATGTTAGTGGAATGCTAGTAAGTCAGTCGTTATTGGACAATGCTATTATTTCAATTTATCATGAGTTTTTCAATGCCATTAGATACAAATGGAATTTGTTGGCATTCTTTATGCTGACACCTTAAAACAAAATATCCTATTTAACTTACATTGATAGACTACTACAAAGAATAGCTGTCTTCACATTTCTTGTTACTGGCCTCATAAAATGTTATTTTATAAAACATAAAGTTCATATCTCAGCATATTGTCTTGAAAAGGGTGCTCTTTTATCTGCACTCTGAATTATCTGATGCCCTTTGGATTACCTTTCAGTGCTTTAATTTTTTCTTTTCCCCTGTATTGCGGGATCTCAACTCTGGCTAAACTCTTCATCTTCACTAACCATAATCCCTTAGAGAGGACGCCAGTCTATATTATTTTCATCCATGTATAATATTCTTTACTTTTGCTTTTAATCATTCAAATGTAGATGTAAAGCTAACTCATAAACCTAATATGTAACTTGAATTGGCTCTCATTGAATGGATTGGATAGAATAAGCAGAAATGTCCCCAGCCCTTTAAGTTACACACCCATGCATTCCTAAAAATCTCATGCTATTCTCTCTTTATCACTCTCACTGATTCATGTTTACCACTCCCCACTGCTGGCCACATTTGAAGTTTGAAATCCACTATACTTGACAATTCCCTATCTCTCTGAACACTAGGTCAGCTATTTCCTTGATAATATTTAGCCTTAAGTGTCCTACTAAATGCCCTGATCAAGAAAGATTTCTAGTATACTATTCAAGATAGACCTCCATTTCTCTCTTTTATTAGAAAACAATTTAGAGTTTTCCTAAAACTCATTGATGAGCCATGAGTTTGGACTATGACCAATCATACCGTTAATTGAAAGCTTTTGATGTTCCTTCAGGTTCTTCATCACAATCACACAATAAGAGGCAAAAGATACAAACAGTTTCTTATAAGTCGTATTTCCATTTAACAGGCACTGAAGAAGAAAAAAAGGGAAAATGAAAAATTACATGTTCTATGCCTTGTACTTTTTCTTTGAAATGTGTCCTTAAGTTTATTACAACTGTAATAACTTTGTTACATGTTTTATTGCCTCATTACACAGAAATTCAGGGATCCTCATATTTTCTAATATCTCAGGAGTGCCTCACTAACATCAGGATTTAATTTATCTATTAAGAAATATACTCTTAACGAAAGTAGTTGCAAAAGCCATGTTAGATTCTGCTTGTGTAATTAAGACTGTTTGAAATCGGGAAGATTTCTCTTGAATGTATGACTTTATCCTCCTGGTAGAAAATAGGAATGTAATATAACCCATTCTTTTTTTTTTTTTTTTTGATTTGATTGCCTCATGTTCAAGCACTGGTTTAAGTTCAGTGAACATTAAGCGTCCCTAAATGACAGCTACTATGTTAAGTGCTTAGGAAATAAAAATAAAACAATAATCCTAGACTATGAGAAGTTACTACTTTACTACTTTGATCAATTAATATGACTTTCCTTAACTGAGCTGTTTTCGTAATAAATATCTATGTAACACTTTAGGATTGTGACTTGGAGGACGTTTTTTGTTGTTGTTGTTGTTTGTTTGTTTGTGTTTTGCTATTAAGCCTATAATTTTCTTTTTGTTTATTTAAACTTTTAGATGCATTTTTTTAGAAAGACATCTTATATCCACTTTGAAGGCAGATATACTATTAATTAATTAAGCTAGTTATTTAAATATAATTCTTATGGATCACTGTAAAGTATCATTTTATCTTGTATATAAAATAAACCAGCTTTAGTTGAGTATTTAGCTATCTTGAGACCAAGTCACATTATGTTCCATTAAGATAATATGTTGGCTATAAGTACGGCTGATCTGAACATACAAGAAAAATAGTAGATATTATTTTCTGAAGAAAGGAGGGAAGATGAGAGATCTAACTGCTGCCCACGCTAATGAAACTACCAAGTTTTGAAACTGATTGTGAAAAAACTATAGGACCTCAAAAAAAAAAAATGGGAATAAAAAAGAAAGTGTCTGGCAGAATCTCCACAAGATGTGACTTTTTTCTCACATCTTCCTGAAGAATATAACTGTAAAACTGTAACGTGCTTTTTTAGTGGCCTTCACTGTGCAACAGACATTTTTAGTATCTTCTTAATTTATTTTCCATAAATGTAACTAGAATTCTAAAACATTAATCACCATGATTCATTTACTCATGGGAAACCGCCATTCTAAATCCACTAAGAGAAATTGGAAGTGGAATTCCAATATCAGAATGGAAAGTTTAGATTTTTGTGTTTAGCTCTGTCTCTTAATTTTTATTTTTTCTCATTTCCTTTCCTATTTTAATTTGAACAGACTTGATAACCCATTAATATTTGCTTTAATGAAATGTCAGTAGAAGGGCATGTACTATATCTTTCTTGTGTGTCAGACTGTTAAAAATTCCACAAAACTTTAAAATAATGCCTACATTTTTATTTTTTTTGTAGAGTATTATAATTTTCCATGATTCTGAAATGTTTCATCTAAGTTTTGCTGATTCAGTATAAATTTCGTAGTAATGTAAATGCTCCACCTGGTGGTCAAAATAAGTATTTTACTTTTTTTTTTTTTTTTTTTTTTTTTTTTTTTTTTACTTTTATAATGCTATTAAAAAGCTTTGGGTGCTAGAACTTTATGTCTGAATTTAAAATATCAGTAAAAGTATCTAGAAGGATGACAAGTTAAAATTTACTAAATATAAGCTGAATCCTAGTCTATAATAGACTATATTTCAATCTATCATGGATTAGAATTTTGGTTAACTATACAGATTACCATTTTACAAGTTATTTTTAGTTTAATGAAATACACTTATTGAAATCATTAGTTTAGGAAATATAACCTCAATTTTCTATATCTATCTATTTATTTATTATCTATTTATCTAAAACTTTTTATCTACATATTGCAATCTGTAGTATTAGTACCAATTAATTTCATGAATAGTCCCACCCTCCCATTTGATAGGTGGTACATTTTTATGCCTTCAGTGTGTAAAACAAGTACTGCTAAAAATTTCAATTTAGCATTCTCTACTATTTATAACATCCACTTAAAATTCTAGAGCAGGACATATTGAAGAGAAAAGTGAAGTTATTACTTCTAATCATAATCCTTAACTTGACGGCAAATTGCCTTTTCATTTTGCACTATAATGTTCTAAATGTGATTTACTTTCTGTAGACTCTATTTTTCAAGCCTGTAATCTCACTAAATTTCTTACTAACTCCATTGTCAATTCGAATTTTATATGTCTTTTCAGGCATCTTCCATCTGAAAGTTCCTGAGTCTTCTCCTATTGGCTCAGCTATTGGAAGAATAAGAGCTGTGGATCCTGATTTTGGACAAAATGCAGAAATTGAATACAATATTGTTCCAGGAGACGGGGGAAACTTGTTTGACATCGTTACCGATGAGGAAACACAAGAAGGAGTCATCAAATTGAAAAAGGTATAGAGACAAATGTTTGGACAGTTGACTACTAAATAATAATTAAAGAAGATAAAAGGTAAATATTGAAAATGACAAGTAATTTTAATTTTCCTTCAATTAGCTATAAAGTTGACCCTTGAACAGTGTGGGAGTTAGTGGTACTGACACTCCATGCAGTCCAAGATTTGCATGTATCTTGTGAATTCTCCAAAATTTCAGTACTAATACCTTACTCTTGACCAGAAGCTTTACCAATCACATGAACATTTGACTGACATGTATTTTGTATGTTAGACATACTATATACTCTATTCTTACAATAAAGTAAGCTAGAGAGGAGAAAAAGTGATAAGAAAATCAGAAGGAAGAGGAAATATATTTACTATTTGTTAAGTGGAAGTGGAATTCTCATAAAAGTCTTCATCCTCATCATCTTCGTGTTGAGTAGGCTGAGAAGAAGGAGGAAGAGGAGGGGTTGCTATTGCTGTCTCCGGGGTGGGAGAGGCAGAGGAAAATCCCCATATAAGTGTCCCTGCATAGTTCAAACCTGTGCTGTTCAAGAGTCAGCTGTATTTTAAATTTAAAAACAAGACCTACTGATGCTGAAGTATTTACTCCTGCAGGCACTGCTTTCTGTGATTCAATTTATGTTGAACAATTAGGCCTGATAATTTGATTACATCATTTAAAAAGATTTTTACCAGAGTTCAATAGTAACCTAATATTTTATTGCTATAAATGTAGACAAAATATTAATTTAAAAACAAAATCCAGAAGTAACTCTGACCCCACCAGTCTTGATATTGGCCCTTTCTATGGCTTTTCTGAGGATACAAATATCTAATTCACCACAATGTTTGTTGATACCACAGTGGTGGCATACTGATGTATGTAAGCTCTAATCATCTGAGAAGTAGAAGAAATGTGAAAGGCCAATAATGGACTTGAGAGAGCTATAAGGAGGAACGAGAAAAAGAATTACCGAGAGAGAATGAGAGAGAGAGAGAGAGAGAGAGAGCGTGAGAGAGAGGACTGCAGGGGAGCAGAACAAAGGTAGTTGAAATATCAGGAAGAAACCATTATCTACAGTGTACATAGTTTTCTCTTTTGTTGAGTGGTGACATGAAGGAGTCTGTAAACGTGAGAAAGATAAATTATAATGGCATTTAAAATGTGCAGATTTTTTTCCATCATAATGAGGCAAATTATAGGACTTTTCAATAACAAAGTGCAGGCAGAAAAGTGAAGATCATTTAATTTTGTCATTTCCTCCCCTTCTACAAAATACACTCTATTTACCCCAAACTGCAGTATACAATCTGTATTTACTCATTGTAATTATTTTAACCCAGAATAAATATTTTGCATTTAGTTCCGTTAATCAGTCTGCCCCTCCCATATTTACTCAGGAGCTCAGAATTTTAACAAGGAAGCAGTATCTATAGTCATGAAAATACTCTTAAATAGAAACACACTTTTCAAATAGATTATCAGATTTTTATTTCTACTATTGTGCATAAATTATGCTTAGGCTACAAATTAATGTAACCCACATGATCCCTTTCTATTAAATTAAGATTTATGCCAAATTTGCTCTTAGAAAAATATGTTAAATTCTTATCAACATTATTCCTTTATTGTTTGTTATTTAGTTTGTTTTTCTCTTTCTCTTTTAGTCCCAAATCAATGTAAAGTTTTATCATTTGATTTTTTCCTTAAAAAGGTCTCCAACAAAGGAATCATATTTAAATGGTTCACAAACAAACATCTATTCAAATGGAACAAATAAAAATTTCATTAATAATATAAAAAATACTTTAAATTAACAAGTCATAATATTTAAATATAAAATTAAGTATACTTTGGAAGTAAAATTAAGGTACAAAAGATTCAATTCTAGATACACATTATGTATATTTGTTTATATATTTATTTATATTTAATTATTATAACTATATTTTATAACCACACACATAGTTTTATGTTCATGTTTTCATTTTTATTTACATATATTTACTATCTATACCAATAAGTAACCAATGTCTAGGTGTTAATCTAGAAAAATGTATGTCATTCTTATTTATTTTTAATGCAATCGAAAAGGGTATGGTTTGATAATACTTCTTTATGGTATTATGTCAAAACATGTTAATCTTTGAAAGTAATCGTTGAGTTATAGAAGTTCAACTATCATTAAAGCAATAAGAACACATCTGCCTTTTTTCATGAGGAAAGATCTACAGAGAATGAAAGAGTCATGTTATTTAGGTTTTGTATTTATTGTATTTAATTTATTTAGAATTTTTAGACTTAACTGGGTTAAAATTGAGATATGCAAAATTATAAAATGCTTTTATTAAAATATATTTAGATGGTGTAGATAATCTTGAAAATATATCTGCAATTAAAAAAAAAAAAACTTGTTTTTCTGTTGCCCAGGCTGGAGTGCAATGGCATGATATCAGCTCACTGCAACCTCTGCCTCCCGTGTTCTAGCCATTCTCCTGTCTCAGCCTCCTGAACAGCTGGGACTACAGGCACCCACCACCATGCCTGGCTGATTTTTGTATTTTTAGTAGAGACAGGGCTTTACCATATTGGTCAGGCTGGTCTCGAACTCCTGACCTCAGGTGATCCACCCACCTCGGCCTCCTGAAGTGCTGAGATTACAGGCGTGAGCCACTGCACCCAGACAAACACTACTCTTTCCTTCTGTGGTGGATGAATCATTGTTGTCCATTTTCCTGGCCTGAAATTCATTATCTAAATAAAGCTCAATGTCCATAACTTTCACTACTTCATTCAACAGATACTTTTGAAGCAGCCACTATGCTTCTGCCTCCACTATGGAGATAACGCTACAGACACTCCCTGCACTCAAAGCTTCCATTCAGTTGAGGATGTCAGAAGATAAACAAATTAGAAATCCCTTTCAGCAACGGTGAATTCAAGCTAGAAAGACTTAAAGCAGGGTGAAGGGGTAAAAGCCCTGTGGAGGGTAGAGGGTATCGTATAGTGAGTGGAAAAAAAAAATAGCTTCTCTATTAGGGGGAAATATGATAAAAAACCTGACCATGTGGTATTTGGGTGATGTGTGTCCCTAAAAGTTTCAGCACCAATTGCAAAATCTCTGAATTGGGAATGTACTAGGCAAGAAGGCTGGCAGGGCTGGAATGCAGTGAAGGAAGAGGGCCTTGCCAGAGATGAGGTCAAACGTGCAGAGGAAGGGGTGGCCAGGGAGAGCCTTGCAGACTGGCAAAGATGTTGAATTATTAACAGATCATGATATAGAGCCCATATGAGTGTAGCTAGATCACCTTTGCTCTTGCTCACCCAGGTGACTTTGGCTGTCTGAAGAGAATAATGACTAGGAAATAATAAGGACAATAGCTTAGTTAAGAGACCTTAGAAGTAAGCCAGGAAGCAGAATGTGGAATGTGATGGTCTAGCCACAGAGACTGTGAGAGATGGTGAGATTCTAAATAAATTGTAAAGGAACAGCCAAGACATATTTCTACAAATATTATCATCATCTGGTAAATTACACCAAGCATTTGAGGACTTCAGAGCCTAATAAAGCACATGGATTTTCTTTCAGTGTTGTAATTTGCTTTCATCTCTAAATATGGATCCACTGGAAGCAATCCCCTATACTAACCTAGGGTTCTGCTAGAAAGAAAATTGTAGCCTGCACGCTACATCTATTAAATCTTTAAAAAATAATTCAGGAGGACATTTTTGTAATGAAACTTAAAAACCACCCACCTATCTATTGTATATAGTGTGTTGTATATTGTGTTTGTACACATATATGCACATAGATACATTACTGAATTAAATATGACAGTATGATTTCATAAAAATGAGAAAATATCCCATTGAATGAAGCCCATAAAAATTCAAAATCAATTGAAACAACTACAATTCTTTAAATACAGAATCTATTTTTGGAGTAAAGACTGTAAAATAGTACTATAATCAAGCATATATTCAGCAAGTTCTCAGAAAACTTTATCTTGCAATTATCATTAGGAGTTCTTAAAGAATTAGATGTATGTCAAAAACTGTGTCTATAAACATCAACAGTAGTGTTGCAGTTCTAGAAGGATATTAAATTATTTTTTAAGGTTTCCCCTTCAATGTTGCAATACAAGAATTCTGATATAAAATCAGATTCATACAGGAATTACATTTTAAGTATACTAAACACATTTAGAAAGTCCCAAATATATATTCCACATTTGAATATGTAGTCCTTTTTAAAACACCAGTTATTTTAATTTTTTTAGCTCACAGGTTTTGAGCTGCAGTAGAGGAATGAGGCATGATATGCTTTGTTTTCAGAATTTTTCTTTTTTTAATGCACTTTAAAATACATTAAAATGCTAATGTTCTGAAGCACATGTTGTTATTATTATTATTTTTTTCAAAATCTTTTAGTTGCTTCCCTGTTATTATTTTCTCCTCTGTCTTTTTCCTCTAAAGAAGGAGGGCTTGAGAAAATAATGATGGTCAGATTTCTAGGAACTGAGAAGACGGCAGAAAGGCATTTTTATTTATTTTATTAACCTTAACTTTGATTCACTTTATGAGACTATGACAGAACGCCATTTCACTGCAACACTTTGAATTCAGAGAAACATTATGAAGCTTTATAAACTGCTCCAAGGCATAAGATATTGGTAAAACAAAACAAAACAAAATAAAAACTGCTTTTATTCTACCCTCACACCCTGCGACTCTGAGCGTACTATTAAAAAGAAAACAGCTGGGCATGGTGGCTCACGCCTGTAATCCTAGCACTTTAGGAGGCTAAGGCGGGTGGGTCACGAGGTCAGGAGTTCAAGACAAGCCTGACCAATATGGCGAAACCCTGTCTCTCCTAAAAATACAAATATTAGCCGGGTGTGGTGGTGCGTGCCTGTAATGCCAGCTACTTGGGAAGCTGAGGCAGAATTGCTTGAACCCTGAAGATGGAGGTTGCAGTGAGCTGAGATCGTGCCACTGCACTCTCCAGC